GACCTGATGTTTTCATAGATCATAGAGTGAAAGCTATCTTTCTTGTTTATTTATTACTAACGTGAACACATGCATCGTCATTCATCTCATCTGATACCTTCTCATGAAAACCTTCAAGAAGGCGAATGTAAGAAATAGGTGTTCTAGCATGAACATATCTTTGAATAAATCTTCTTCAATCCCTTTAGTCATGTATCATCTACCACCACTTCCTCATCCCTTTATATCTTGGAAATTTCAGCTGTAGGACTTCTTTCCTCTTCTACATTGGCTAGTGTTCGAGGTGGACGTTGAAGGACTTCCAAGAGAGATAGGATATTGATATCTCTTTGTGTATTGTGGAAGTTCTTTGACTAGGCCATTAAGTCCCTTTCACATTTATTAAGTTGATGGAAAGATGGTCCTCTTGTATCCCAAGCTCGGGATACAATCCCTGACATTCCTCCTTGACCAATCATATCTCATCCACCCTAAAAAGGTGGTTTTCTTATTATGCTTCCTTTGTAGAATAAATCAACCCGAATAAGGAGATTTCTGATTACACCATTTTCTCATGGAAAACCACTGCTTCTCCAAATTGATCACTAGGATTACTAAAGAGTTTCATGTTTGGTCACCAAAAATATTGTATTCATTCATGGTTACTAAGTTTAGCTAAATATTTTAAGCTTGGTCACTCTCGGTTACCTTATGTTAGTCTTCATTAACACTGTCGGCTTTTTGCTGACATGGCTAACAAAATCGTTGATTCTCCCAATTTCAAACCTCCACATCATAAAATTCGCCACATAAGATACAGTTCATAATGCAACCCAATAAAACCCTGAACAGTCATGATCTTTTTTACACTCCTCCGCCTCTCTCATCCTTCTCCTCCGCCTCCTTGCCTTCTACTTCTCCCTCTCTTTCTCCATATTTATGCTCACCAACTTTAGGGGATTTGACTCTCTCTGTTTGGATGTTTGTAAGGACTACATTTTCACCTTTCGTTCGCTACTCCTCCCTCAGCTGAGAAACTCTCTTTCAATCGCACAATGCCACTATATTGTCCCATCAATCACTACTTCCTTTAATACCCCTATATCTTGCAACTACTAGGATTGAGAAGAGGGAAGAGACTATTTCACTATCAAAGAGGGAGGATATGGGTTGGTGAGGAATCGATGGAAGAAGGCCGAGAACTGGAATAAATGGAGAGGGGAAACCTGACTCGCTAAAACACAACTCCTAACAATGGCCAAGTGTAACCAATGAAAGGGACTGCAGTATAGTGGCTCAAGTAATAAATATCGAATCCACGGGTCTCTAGAGTTACTATTACTCAGCTTCAGTTCATTATCTAGCAAACCATATTAAGATGGAAGAACTAAAACTACTCTATCAAACTACAGTTAAAGTTAATCTAATTACAGTTTGGGAACTCACTTAGGTATGATTCCCCCTAGCCACTAGCCAGATTAATGATTGATGATTTCTAACTTGTTTCACTTTCATTCACAATGTGGAGAATCCTTGACTAGACCTTGAGTCTCGACTAAAGGAACAAGGCCCTCTTGAGTCAATTGCCTAGAGGGACGTATCCTTCTCTAGAACAACCGATCAAGGCGTTCTGAACTAGACTCCCTCTATCGAAATAGTTTCTCAATCGATACAAAGCAGTGAATCAACCCTCGACTAAAGCAATCGATCCAATACTATCAATCTATGGTGCTCTATTGACCTAATCAGGTATTCGCTCTCATAGGATCAAAGCAGAATCAATAATCTCGACTAAAGCAGAATTGAATCATGAAAACATGCATAGATTGAATATGAACTCAAGATTATCAAGTAAGAGTACTCATACAATCATCCAATCAAACAAACATAGCTAGTGTTTCTCAAAACATAAGTGAAGGGAAGTTACTCCATAGAGAAGAGAGAGACTGCAGTAAGAATCTTCATATGATCAGTCTTCAAGTCCGGGCTTGTTCCTCGAGCTTCCAAAGCGAAGAAATCCTCCAATTCTACTCCAATAATGCCCTCAAATCGCCCTCTCTCTCTTTGGTTCGTCCCTTGGGTGTTTGGGATCCAAAACCCAGCTCTCTCCCTCCTTTGGCTCGAATTTGGGTTAAAAAACCAGATTCTGGGCAAAACACGGTCGAGGGCACGGCCGTGCTTTGGTTTTGCCCGCCCGTGTTTTGCCCCGTGTTAAAAACACGCCCCCGCGCATCGGCCAAAACACTGTCGTGCCTAAATATAGGCACGGCCGTGTTTTGATTTAGGCGCGCCCGTGTTTTTACTGCCGAACATGTTCCCCTATATTCAATGCTTCGTTTCTCCCTCGTCCGGACTCCGAATCAGTCGCCGTTTGATCTCAGACGCTCGTAGTCTCGTCGTCTTTCTTTTCATGACAAGCTTGCATGATTATTTGTCCATAAAGTGAGGTAGAAATCCATTATTCTTCAGGTCATGCCCGAGTTTCTTCTCCCTAATCGCCAATTGATCTCTGATTGACTTGAAACTTGCGCCTATGCTTCATTATGTGCTAGGACATGAAATGTGACAAAGGAACACAACCTAGTGTAAAATAGGCCAAAAACAAGATAATTAAAGCTCAAACAATAAAAAAACAAAGGGGAAAACATGTGCAAATATCGAGTCATCAAAACCAGAATGGAGAGGGGGAAGCTTAGACATGGAAACCGATCACCACAATCATCGGGGAAGGTTTCGACGATGATAGCGGAGGTGACACGAGAGAGTTAAGAATTCAGGGGGACGGAAGCTCGGACATGGAAACCAGAGTGGTGCAAGGGATTCGAATCAACGAGGGATGGAGAAGTGGAGGAACTGAGTGGAGTACATGGCAAGGTGGCTGAGGGTAGGGTCTCGTTCTCGATGGCGACGACTGGTGACCAAGAACCTGAGTTGGGTTTTGGATAAATTGAATATAACTAGGTTCAAAATTCCCGCGGCTTGTGAAACTCCGGCATTTTATGTAAGGGATTGAAAGGAACCTAGTGATTTGTGTGATGGAGGATGTGTGTGTTCAAAAGGAATTGGTCTTGAATTTTTTTGTCGGAGGATTGATTGTAAGGTAAGATCGGCCGGTGGAGGTTGGAAAAATGGCAAGCGAAGTGCGGCTCTTTTTTGGTGCTCAGCTAACTATCGTGAAAAGTCGTATCTCTTTGTTAATAAGATCCAAAAGGTTTATTAACCCCAAGGATGCAGATCCATATTAGGCATAATAAAATAATTGTACGTCAAATAACATCAAAAGTGTTGGTTTCAGAAGATGGAATGTTGACTAAGCTCCAGGACCCTGAATTTTGCCAATCCACATGGAAATTAAGCTCCAAGATGGAAGGACGGTGACGAGCAGAGGAGGAGGGGTGGAGAAAGAACTAGTTAGAGTTATTTAGACTGGACTGGTCAAGGCTTGGGCCACGAGTTGGGGTGGAGTATCTTATTTGGCTAGTTTAATGACGTGGTAGATCAATATAAAATGACTAGACTTTTCTATTAGCCACTTATGCAAAAAACTGATATTGTTAACGAAGACTAACAGAAGGTAATAGAGAGAGCTTAAACTTGAAATATTTAACTAATTTTAGTATCCATAAATGGAATAAGATATTTTTTGTAACCAAACGTGAATTTGTTAATAATCCTTTACCAAACTTGCAATTTATGCTAACTTAAAGATTGGGGTAAGTACTCATTATTAGCCAAAAATTTCCCGCATTTTTAGATATCAGTCGAAAGGAAATGCAAAATATTAGCCAAATTCTTTTGTAACGCTGCAAAATATTAGCCATTTTTATATTATCGTTAATAATGTTATAGCTCTTTTCTTAGGTAAAATACTAAAGTTTTAGAATGTTGGCCTCCATATGTCTCTTCCAAGTCACTATCAATGTTGCAAAGTCAATATTACTGACAAAACTGGTAACGGAAAGTTACCATTTGACTAAAATTTTATATTTCGAAAGGTTTATCTACTATTCAAAATGCAGGAAAATATAGGTAATAATTAGTAGATTTCTGTTGATATAGGAGGGTCGAGATGACATTTGTCTTTTTCTAATTGTACCATCGATTTTTTGGTAAATGCCACATTTGGTCACCGAGATTATTAAATCGTGTCATGTTTAGTCACTAGAAAAATTTAATATCAATTTTATTCACTCGAATTACTGAAACAGGTCACATTTAGTCATCTTCTGTTAGCCTCCGTCCAACTCCGGTCACTCGAATTACTAAAACATATCACATTCAGTCACTCGATTTACTAAAATAGGTCACATTTAGTCACTCTCCTGTTAGTTTCCATCCAACTCCAGGAGAGTGACTAAATGTGACTAAATGTGACTAAATGTGACCTATTTCAGTAATTCGAGTGACTGAATGTGATATGTTTTAGTAATTTTTTAGTGACTAAACATGATACGATTTAGTAATCTCAGATTATTAGTGACCAAATGTGGCATTTAGCCATAGATTTTTTTTTTGAGTTGCATATGCAAGAAATGCCAATACTATTGTGTCGCTATTAAAAGTGCGGCACCGGTGCCACTATATTTAATTGGTCCACGTGGCCATGATAGTGTGACATGGAAATAATAGTTAAATTCCAATCCAACTCGTGGGCCATCAACCGAGCCAACCACCAACATGGCAATAATAGTTAAACTAGTAATCAGCCCGCGCTCTGCTGCGGGATACATTTGACTTGTGTAATCTTCTGATACCATAACGCAGAGTCAGGGAGAACGCACACATGGAAATAAGTTTTCTACAACTGCACTCTGCGCTAGGACAAGTATTTCATTTAATAATTTTTAGCAATTGGGTAAATTTCGTATTAACGCCGACGTACGAAAGACATTAGAATTATTTAACCTAAGTAGTGAATTCAATAACAAAAACTACCTAAGCATAGTACCGATCCATTATTTACACACCATGACAAAGAGTGGTACTCTGCAATTGCTTGGACTGTAAATTGGTGATGTACTGAGAGCCGATGTGTTGATAACAATAATCAAATGACCAAAAAAAATGTCTTAGAACAATAATCGCTGTGAGCTTTACATGGCATTGGCAGGTGGCTAAGAAAAGCACACCACAATTGACAAAAGCGCAATCATCACGTACAGGCTAGGCTAGTGGATCGACGCACTGTTCTAGTTCTGGTAGTGATGAGTTTCCATGTCGACGCCTCACCTCTTCAATTTCAGAGGACTATGAAATAGGAATAAAGAGCTTGTATAGGTCTTTCTGATAGCCTCCCTGGTATACAGAGTAGAGGGATTTAACAGCAAAGGGGAGCATTAAAAGAGAGGCATCAAATATAAAGTATAAATTATCAAAAAGACTAAACCGATCACCAACAAAGAATTCTCGAGATTTAATAGTGGATTCAACAGAGTTATGGTTCTTATGATTGTCTGCTCCCTTGAACTCATAAATCACACAAATGCATTGCACTCAGAGACTTAAAACTAAAAAATGCAGAACCCCTTCACATAAGCAAACAGTGGGCTTCGGAGCTCCATCGGTTTCTCAAAAAGAGATTGGGGAATTATGTGGTTATAAAAGGGGAACATGGATATGAGAGCTTAAGACTAAAAAACCTGGTGCATCTTTTCAGCTCTTTGTTGCCAAACCATCCACAGAGCAACGCAAACGAAGCACATGAGATACAGAAAGGAAGACCACACAACCAAACAACCCCAACTGAGATCCTAAAATTCAATTAAAGGCCTTAAATTATAACCAATAATTAATAGATATAACCAGTGAGCAAACTCACCGCTCAAATAAGATCAAACAGACTCTCATGTACTAATTGTTTGATCCATCCAAAGGCAGCATTGATTGTAGGTAGTCCTTCCCAGTGGATACTCGTCTGCAAAAAAAAGTAAAATTCCGAATGAATAATATCCCAAATTTGAGAGGTGGTGCCAATTGGACATTAAACCTAACTGTAGGATAGAAAGATTTTATCCCATAGGGGCTAAAATCTCTAAAATGGAGGAACAATACAAAAAGAGTTGAGCAAAAGAATTAGCAGCAAAGATAACCTTTGAAGCACCGGCAAAACATTGTCAAGATGCCAATTGGCCGAATCATGGACAGGTGCAGCCTTAATTATAGTGGCTCGAATGGCTGCAGCATAATACTCCCGCGTGCTCAAGAAGTAATCATCAGGCAATTCTTTAACTATAGAAACGTCATCTTTCAAGACATTAATAAAGTGATCCACATCAAATATATCCATGAATGAGCTTGCATTGCAGAGAAAGTTTGCAGCTTTTTCAGCAATAGTGCCCTTTTCTTGATATTTAATGAAATGGGGGTGGGGGAAACGGTAAAATCTGAAGCTGCAATCGCAAGCAATGGTTGCAATAAACCTCTCCTCTAAGCACACTAAATCTACCAAAATCCACCACTTGATCTAACTGAAGTCCAATCAAATACCCTAGGTTGCTGGATACTCTCAAATAGAGTGCTTCATAACCTAACAACAAAGCATTTGAATGCTCAAATCAGAGAAACTCAAGTAATAGATATAGCGGTACTGATCTATGTCAAGATTGAGGATATGGATTTACATTCCGAAATCTGAACAATGGAGTTTGGAAAGGTCGAGATATATTGGTTCCCGGGAAGGTCACCGAGCCACAAAATCAATAAGATGATTATCTGCAAAAGGCAACAACAAATACAACCATTAACTCAGTGGATTCCGCCAAAAACAAATAAAACGAAAGAAACAAAGGAGGAATAAAATAATGAATGCACAAAGGAAGTTTATTATATGATTTACAGGCCAAGAAAATCATCACAGCCAAAAAGCTGTGTCCCTTTCCTGGGAAGATAAAAATCAACACATCACCCTGCCACCACTTTATTATAAATCTATCATCTTGAATACCAAGAATGTAGAATGTTTAATGCTCGCACTGACTTCGTCATAGTTGCATGGTTATGCAGCGAGACTTAACAGAGGAAATGAATGGACATCATCAACATGGAAGGGAAACTGAAACGCTTTAAACACAACAGTAGAGACTAATTGCATCGAGACCACAGTGAAATTTCAAGGAACTCGTGACTGGAGGTTCTCCATGCAACTGTCAAGAGAACCAACAATGATCAACAGAAACAATTAACAGACAGGGAGAACTACTGTGGAGATTTCACTGAACATCTAACTTGATTGCTCGGTTTTAAAAAGATATCTTCCTCATTGGCTAGACCTAGAACTTGTGAAGTCATAAACCCCAACCCACAACCAACTCGGTAAGAATTCCAAACAAATGTAGGAAGACCCGCCGGAAGAGTAAATGAATGCAAATGTATAGATTGGAGAGGTAAAGAAAGGACGCTAGTGACGGCGATTTAGGAGAAAGCTTGAATCAGCTCCAAAGCTATCATGTGTGTCCATAATTGTAGCATCTGCCTCACCTGTCACACCAAAACAGACGATTATGCTCACAATCCGAAGTGCTTAGAAATTTGAAAGAAAAAGAGAGAAAATACAGATAAACACAGTACTGGACCGTTGATATACTATGCAAAAACAGCAAGCAAGAGTAATTGATCAGAGAAAAGAAGAATGGGATAACTAACTGGGGAGAATGAACTGAAAAGAGTGAGTCACCTATTGAGGCATTCCTCACTGAATCTGCGCCGTCGTGCATCCATTCATCTTCCACTACGTAGCTGACCTTACCGCCGATGACGCGGACCTCATTCCCATCTTGCTCCGACTTTGGGGTTTTCTTTAGCAGAGGAGTGCAGATGCTTACACGCCGATCAACTCTCATTTTTTGGAAAGGCTTGAGCCATCTTTTGAATTTCCTCTCCTCTTCAATTCCGGTGCTCGCAGGTGAGAATGGGAGAGAAACAACTTGATTAGATCTTTCAACGGAGAAAAGTTTTGGGAGAATCAAACAACGAATCATGAACATAAAACAAACCCAGTTGAAAGAGCTAGAACAATCACCTTAAACCAAAACCCGAATCCACAAAGCAGTGATGGCGCAGGCAGAAAACTGTGAGCTAGATCCTCACGACAACTCGGGCCACCCAGAGCCTTCCCTGCATAACAAAAAAAAGAGCCAAAATCAAGACACGAAGGTCACGCAGGAATTAAACATGAACTAAGCGTAAAAAGCAATCCCCTAACCTACCAGCGAATCATCTAAAAAGCACCTGGCGCAAGAAAGTGTCCCTGCGACCAAAGCGAAGAGAGCAGAGATTAGAACTGTTACAACACAAAGAAATCGAGAGAGAGGAACCAGAAAAACAGAAGAGATAGTACCTGCGAGCGTCAATAATCTTCCGAAAATAAAGCTCAAGAGCCCTCGCAGATCTGGGTCTCTGCAAAACTTTCCCATTAGTGTAAAATCCGCCCGTTGATCACACCAAGCCCAGTCCATCTCCGAGGCGAATAGATAAGAAACACCAGAGAAAAGGGAAGAGAGAACACCAAACCCAGTCTCTTCTCTCGAACCACTCCCAGCTCTTCTGCAACACAAAAAGAGAAAGAAACGAAACAAAACGAAAGGCTAGAGATCAAGAGCTCACCGAAAGATCCCATGATTTCCTCGACTTCAGCTGGTCGCTTGCTAGGCAAAGGCGCAGAGATTCACCACCGGAGACAGGGATTCTCGTAACCAACGGGTTCCCGGCGATTGATTGGCTGCTGGCAACGACCATGGTGCTCAGATGAGAGAGAAGATGAAGAGATGAGATGCTGGAGGGATGTTGACGAGAATTGAGACAGAAAGAGGAAAGAGCCATAACATAACATAAACGTTTAAGAGAACCTGCAGGTCTGTACATCAACATGCTCTTCTCAGCTAGAAGAGGAATCGTGATCGTCGGCGCTCTCTCCACGACTCCCATCACGACCTTGATTTTCTCAGGCAAACCCAAAACGAAGGATGATCATATCATCGCCGATATGCTCGATCGTCTTTGCTCGCACCTAAGAAATTGAGTGAAGAGAGGGAGAGAGAAGAGGGTAAGAAATATGAGAGAAAAACTTCTGTAAACTTTGATTGTTGTGTTTGCAAGAGGACCTCTTTTGTCATTGAAAACTACGTCGGGGTTTAGTTGGCCACCAAGGAAAGAGACAACGAAGAAAACGTCTCTGCTTCTCTCTCTTCTCTCGAACCACTCCCAGTCTCCTCTGCTCCTCTCTCTTTTCTCGAACCATCACCAAAATTTTCTGATTTGGCGGCAAAATAAACTCTCTCTCCAGCGCTCTGCACGAAGAACCCCTCCTCTCTGCCACCTCAACAACCACCCTCTTACTCTGTCCAGACCATCACATCCTAAATCAGGGTTAGCCCAGCAAGCGACGGGACAAAAGAAGGTAGCATTGGAGGCCGACGCGTGATCGACGCTATCCCCAACACAACACAACGAAGTCCAAGAAAAGGGGTCCACCGCAGGCGAACAACCAATCAGAGCTGGGTGAATAGTAAAATTGAGTCTTTATGACCAGTAAAAGGTGTCTTGAGCTACAGTAATCGGCGTTAGTGGAAATAATGTTCTTTAATTTATTCCGCACCAAGTAGTACCCGACCCGAGAGTGGGCCCATAATTCTTGCCCTCTTTTCCAAACTTCCTATACTATTGTTATTGTTCCGCAATACATCTCTGAATGGGCCAGAGCCGAGCTCTGATATGATTATTGCGAATTATTTTCAATCTCAGTTATAAAAGGGTCAATGTGCGACGAGTAGATGCATTTCGGTGGAATTCCGGTGAATCTGAAATGGTTCCTTGGGGGTGGCCGGAGCAGTTTGGACCAAGAGAAGGAGATCGACGCCGATCTGCTTCACTTTCCCTTCGTTTCCTTGGTTTCTGGAGGAAAAAAAACAAATAAAACAGAACAAAATAATTTGGGGAGAAAACAATGGGGGAAAAAGCAACGGAAAGATTTCGTTCGTTTGGGTACGGCTTTGGTTCGGGCCAATTCCATTAGGTCAGTAGGCTTTGGGCTCATCTATCTATCTATACATAATATTATGACAATTCAAAATTAAATTTTTGCCACATAAGCACTTGGACCAATCTTAAGTTGCCAAGTTGGACAATTTAAAAAAAAAATAGTTATTGAGCTATTTATGGAGTTGTCCCTCTCTCTTCATTTAATATTTAATTCACTTTTATCCAATAATTATTTTGCTTTTGTTTTTGCATTATATCTATATATAACATATGGAGAGAAAGGTTATCAAACTGGTTTAGCAAGTGGAATGGTTTTACCAGTGGTACAACCGGTTAGTGTCGGTTCATGTCGGTTAATAAAATATGTAAAAATATAAAAAATCTTTAGTATCAAATGAATTTTATCATATATAAACCATATTTGAAGACAATTTACGTACAATTCATATTGATATTTGAATAAAATATAATATTTCAAATAAAATTACATGTACTCATACGTAAATCACTAAAACTACGTATTTTACTTAGAAATTCGTAAACCGATCATACCGGTCATACCGATGGTGTCATGTCGATTTCATGACCGGTACCGACTGAATGGTTCAACCGGTGGCATGCCAAGCGACGTGACAATCATGATGGAGAGTGACATATATCACATTTTGTTTTTCCATTATATCGATGTACGAAACAGTATACTAATAGTTGATGAACTTTGACTTCATATTCTAGGATGAGACACGAGATCTCTTGAAAAATGAAATGTGTAAAATTTAGAAAAATCTTTGTTAAGGATGTACGTTACACATCATATTTCATGCTAAGAAAAATCTAAATTCGACGATTGAGGTAATAAATAAACATTAATGTTTTACTTCGCATATATAACAAAAAAAAAATTATAGTTACAATAGTGTAAACCAAGCTATTGGGTTAAAAGATGAATATTTAATAAATATGAGTTTAGTAAGAAAATTGTAACAAGTCTATATAGTTGTGAGTCTGTGATTTCATACCAAATTTTGGCATATCATATTTCAACTAAGGAGCTGAGTTCAAAGGTATTAATTAGTGTTGAAAGTAAAATAAACTCTCTGTATATATATGTTTAGATATTAACAATAGATGTGTCTAAAATACATCCAATAACTTAAATACATGTGAAAAGCCATAATGTTTGTATGAACTTTTAAATTTTGCTACAAAATATTTTGTTAAAAAATTATAAGTTAATTATTCAAGGAATACATAATTTTGAATGCAACTGAAATATTTGTCTGTCGTATACACACTTTACCAATTATTAATATAAGTAATGAAATTTTTGTTCTAGAACAAACACCAAATATAAAGAAATTTTAGCGAATGGACATTCAAATAGTTGAAAAATTATACATTAAAGGAACATGTTAAGATGAGAACCTTCGATAATGTATATGAATGCCTTGGATTCAGATTCTAAACGAACATCTAGACAAAAGGCATGGGTTGAGAGTTAGTCCAAACTTAAAATATTAGCAACTGATATATATTGTAAGATAATAATTTGTATCTTGATAGAAAAATGGTCATAAGTTGCTATACAAAGACTTCATGAACATCAACGATAAAGATGAGTGAGGTTTAGAGAATTTAATCATTATAAGGGATACGATGTGTGTCCAATTTCAATTGGAATAAACATAATTTATCCAGTAATCAAGTATCTTTTCCAATAATTTGAACTCTGATTAATTGGCTGAGAGTTCGTACAAACTCGAGGATTATGAATTGATGTATGTTGTATAAGATAATAAATTTGAGCGTCTTGGTGGAATTGTTTTTTATATACGATCCTAAATGGGACGTGATAAACCTTTATGACATGATTTATGATCAGAGAATAAAAACATCACAAACGAGTGTGCTAACTATTAAATATTAAGAATTTTTGGTATAGACATACCACATATTCACTTATGAAGCGAGAACATAAAATGTATACAAGATCCAAAAATTCAAACATATAGATAAGTTAACTAATATAAATAATCAAATGAACTTCTCCGGCCAACTGGCCGGGTAAAAAACTAGTAATAAATAAACCAGTACCAGTCTGGCCACGTCAACTCCACATGGACCAATAAAAAACAGCATCATTAGTGCCGCATTTTTAAAGGGGCACCGTAGTATTGCCCTGCAAGAAATACAATTGGCCAATTGGGCCTGCTGGCCGTCCATCATGGATTCATGGACTTCTGTGACTGTGCGTCTAGCTGAAAAGTTGAATCGCGGGACTCAGTCCAGTCCACACATACAGCCCAAATATAAAACCTCGATTGGTAGCCGGCTCCCTTTCAACGACTGCTTCGTCGCCCTGCCTACCACCTTGCTGAAGCGGCAAACACACAGCCTCCTTCTTCTCCGCCGAGGAGAGTCAAGATGCTAACGGCCGACATTCCTCCCAATCAAACTATTTACATCAAAAACCTCAACGAGAAGGTCAAGAAAGAAGGTAGGATACGATCCCCCCTTCTCTGCGTTATTTGGCTGTGGAATGAGTTGAAGCTGAAAAGTTTGAACCCTAAATCTCGCCGTCTCGCTTCATGATTTTTCAGTTCTGCTCTCTCCCGCTGCACAACTTTAAACTTGCTATAGAGTGGATGTAGGTTCTTGTGTTGCTTCCTCGTTACAAGGGCTTTAGGGCCGAAGTATTATGTGTTGTTCACAGGGAATGTGGAGTGACTCCGCTCAAGTTTGGTGTGCGCTGTTTCATCGTAGAAGTATAGGTTTTGAATTTCTACTTTCTTGCGACTTCGAGTAGAAGGATGGGTCGGATTCTGTTTTGTTAAGCGATGCTTAAGCTTAGCTCATGAGCAGGCATATTCTTGCATACTCTACCGGTGGTATCCCTCAAGTCAGCTACTTTGCTAATATCTTATTGAAAACTGTATCTATTGAAAGTAGCATCTGTCAAATAAAATTTTGTCTATTCTGATTTAGTAATCCACTCACACTGATAAGTAGTGCTCTTGTGGGCAAAGTCAATTTACAACCCACAATGTAATTGCCATACACTGTTTTTAAACTTACCCATTTGTTTTGGGTTTCATTCATGTTTGTGATTGCTGAAAGCATTGTTAAGGAGTCAGGGAAGTGAGATTCAATCACTTAGGGTCCATTGACGTTAGAGTCTTTCGTTGCGATATGTCCTTTTTATGTATCCTTTCTGATTGTAGCATATTCGTTCATTGTTTCAATTTTCAATGTGTCCATCTTTTTCTCCCTTTTCAGAATTGAGAAGATCGCTTTACTGTTTGTTTTCTCAATATGGAAGGATTCTGGATGTCGTGGCCTTGAAGACACAGAAGCTCAGAGGGCAAGCATGGGTGTGCTTCAGTGAAGTAACAGCTGCCAGTAATGCAGTGCGGCAAATGCAGGGTTTTCCATTTTATGACAAGCCCATGGTACGTCATTAGATGTGGTGCTAGTAACTTATGTGGGGAATAGGAAAGATGTAAGAATAAAATATATGAAATTTTGGTAAATTGATCAGAGCATCTATTTGAAGAACAAGTTGCTTAAGATAAGAGTTAACTATTAGGACGAAATGTTATTTCAATGATGAAAGAAATTTTCTTCAGTATGTTCGCCCTCTTTCATACGATTTTATAGTTTCTCTTCGAGATCCTTGCCGTACCATCTATATTTTCTCTGCACATATTCGGGTTGGAAGAATCAACCAATTCAATTAGTCCTATGGTCCTAGCTAAAGATACAGACCCGAAAGAGCATATTTACCTACTATATTCTTCTGCCATCATACATCTCTATAACAACACTATATTACATAAAAATAGTCCGGAGTGGCGATTTTATGCTTATAAGATCGTTGTTGGTACAGCGAATCCAATATGCAAAAACAAAGTCAGACTGCCTTGTAGAGGCAGAAGGAGTTTACGATCCAAACGCAAAGAAGAAGAAGAAACAAGAAGAAAAAGGTGATAAGAAAACTCTTGAAATCATGCATTCTCTAGTTAATTATATTATGTGATTCAAGAACTTTTGAGCTCTACGTCCTGTACTAATCATGTGCCAATGTACCTTCAGCTGAAAGGAAGAGGCGTGCTGAAGAAGCTCAGCAATCTGCAACAGCTAATGGCTCAGCTGCTGACAATAACAGAGGCCATGTAAGTCCTGCTGCTACTATCTGTTTATGTTACTTTGGCTATTAACTTCTCCATCACAATCCTTATAATTTACCTCCAAAGCATGTGTTTGTTAGTTCTCGATTATCTTCGTTAAGGTTTGACATCTTATGATGAATGGTGCTTAAGATTTGTTGCTCCTTGTGATATGCAGACTTCTTTCCGCCCAGGAAGTGGTGGGGGCGAACATGAAACCATGCCACCAAACAACATTTTGTTCATTCAGAATCTGCCGCATGGAACCACCAGCATGATGTTGCATGTCTTGTTCCAGCAGTACCCTGGGTTCAAGGAAGTCAGGATGGTAGAAGCGAAGCCTGGTATTGCATTTGTTGAATTCGAAGATGATGTTCAGTCATCAATGGCCATGCAGGCACTTCAAGGATTCAAAATCACTCCTCAAAACCCAATGGCCATCAGTTTCGCCAAGAAGTAGTAGGTTGCTTATTATCTACTTGTATGTATGGAGTAAGGAGAGCCATGTTAACAAAATCCGGGCCTTGTGAGACCGAAATGGCGGAGTTAGAATCATGTATTTGATCAGATAGTGGGAATCAAGTAATGTTTTAGTAGACCACCATAAGAATATCAGCCAGTGCTTTTGAGGCAGTTTTTTCCTTTTTAATGAATCATGACAATGAAGTATTTCCCCCACCCCCAAGTTACTGCGTGCAAATAGTAATATGTTCTCTTAGGGGTCATTGGCTTGTTGGATTTGGAAAATGAGGATTTTGGTTCAAAAAAACATTTGCATTTATGAGGGATTTGTTGCATTATGGATTTGAAGAGTATTGTTTGCATGATAGATTTGACAATTATGATGGATTTGCTATAAATATAACTAGCCATCAAAGATTTACAAATCTCACCCTAATATGTGGGATTTACAAGTCCGTGGGTCCACGGATTTGAATAAAAAAAGGAACAAATTCGTGGACCCCGTGGATTTAACACCTAACAACAGACTTTGTTAAAAACTTAAAATCCATCATGTTTGGGATTTGAGTATAATAACCCAAATCAAACAAGCAAACGCTCCCTTAATCGCGAGCAATATATATATATATATATATGGTGGCGTCTTCGGTGCACTCACTTTTTTGGGTGCGTTCAGTGCACTCACTTCATAACCATCATTTTAAACATGCGATTTATGTAAAAATGATGTCAATCATCACTTATGATGTGATGAACAATAACGCACATGAATTTGCACAAAAATCATTGAAGATTTACTTTAATTTGGAGGATTTAGAGTTTAGAGATTTATGGTTAGGGTTAGGGTTTACAATTTGGGGTTCAGGGATAAAACTCAAAATTGGAGGTCTAAGGCTTAGGGTAATCGGATAATTAGTTGTTATCATACGTTATATCATCATATTACACTGATTCTACAAATTAAAATTCAACATCCAACACCTTAAGACTAGTTTTTGAGTTGGGTGCGTGCATTGAACGCACCCATTTTTGTGAGTGCACCGAAGTAGTCACCATATATATATATATATATATATATATATATATATATATATATATATATATATATATATGGTGGCTACTTCGGCGCACTCACTTTTTTGGGTGCACTCAGTGCACCCACTCTAAAAGTGTCCATATTACATCAAATTTTGAACTTTAATTAGTACTCTCAATCTAATATGATGATATGACATAGAATCATAACAAATCAATCAATTACCCTAACCCCTTAACCTTCAATTTTGAATCCCAATCCAAAATCCCAAATTGTAAACCTAAACCCTAACCCTAAATCCCTAAATCCTAAATCCTTCAAATTAAAGTAAATTTTGAATGAATTTTTTTCAAATTCATGTGCTTCTTGTTCAAAATATCATAAGCAACAATTGATACCGTTTTGACATGAATCGCATGGTTAGAATGACAATTATGAGGCGGGTGCACTGAGTGCACCCAAAAAAGTGGGTGCACCGAATACGCCACCATATATATATATATATATATATATATATATATATATATATATATATATGGTGGTTTCTATCGTACCCTGGGTGAAATCTAGGGTACGACATACCCTAAGTAAGAAAACGCTATCTAGAACTCGAATAAACCGCATTTCTGGGCATGATACTATACCCTAACCATTGATGGGTGAACCCTAGGTCTTAGTTTTCTAGATCATAGAGCCTAACCCCTAAGATTGCACATGTAATTTTTTGCATATATTTCAACGAATCATGACCGTCAATTTTTGTTTCTCAATAAATTGATCTTCATGTATGAGATTTATAGAACTAAGACATAGATTTTAATCTTTAAGAGTTTGAGAATAGTTCCAAATGCCAAACTCCAGTCAATTCAAGGTCTAGATATCATTTTCTTACTCAATGTACGACATACCCCGGATTTTACCCGGGGTACGATAGAATGGTCCATATATATATATATATATATATATATATATATATATATATATATATATATATATATATAGTTGTTTGGTTCCCTATTAATGGTTTGAGTTGTACAATTGTTGTGTGTGTGGTCGGAACTTGTGAGCGAGGTGAGTTGCGGTTCTGAACTTCTGATTCACTTTGACGCTCAAGTAGAGATGATGTATGGAAAAGAGGTTTAGTGATTGGATCCAAAAGTCAAAATTTTGGTCTATAGTTTAAAATTTAACCCCTCAAAAAGTGTTTTGACAATAGTGGTGAGTTTCAAATGTCCAAATTTCCATATATGCACTTTAACTCATAATCGAGTTTTCTGTATATTTCATTTTGCATAAGTCACCAATTCACAACAATAAAATGGCTTCCAAATCGGATGAAGTTGCAAGATTGGTTTCTAGAATCAATATATTATTTTTTGGTAAAGGCAAAATAAACTTATTGTCTGGCAAAATTAAGGGTCAAAGTTCAAAGAGAAAAGAGAAACATACTGAAAAAAAAAACAAAGGGGTTTACCCCCTCCAGAAACCATTCCAGGCCAATCAACGTGTACAAATTAAGCAACCCACATTTGCAGCAATCTCGAACACATGAAGCACCCGAGTCTTCCTCTAAAAAATTCACCTTCCTTATGAGATGCTTCCATCGTCCACTGGGGAGAAGCCAAGCAAGAGATCTGGATTGGGAGTAACGCCTGCAAAGTAAAAGCACAACATTGGTAATCATCTGCGATGAAGAAAAACTCTGGTAGCAGCAAAAGCCTCATCAAATTGAAGAGTGTCTACAACGGGGCCGACCCTAAGAATGTAGAGGCCCTGTTTTATAAATAAAATGTGGTCAATTTTTCTTTAAAATCTAATAAAATATAAATAAATCAATAAATAAATTACAATATTATTTTAAAATAATATTCTTAAAATAAAGAGTGATAATGGTTCAAATAGAAAGATGAAATAAAATATCAGAATCCAAATAGTAAGTAAATTGACAATTAATCATTAACTAGACTCACCTGAATAGGTGATGAGAAGTTAATTGAGTAGAAGAGGAGAATAATTTTAGATGAATTAAAGAGCATGACAAAATATTTTAGAAAAAATATTAGAAAGAAGAAGCTTATAATTTTTAAAACTAAAGTTAAGTCCGGTACAAATTATTTACAATCAGTGTTGGACCCAATGATTTTAGATAGGGTATCTTCTTTTAAAAATTAAATTAATAAGAAAATAGTTACTTAAGAAGAAAATATTTGACTTGTACAAATTATAACAAAAGCACATGGTGTGTTTTGTATTCTAGAAAATTGTCAAATACATTCGGTATCTAACACTTCTATACAAATCTCTCGCGATATGTCTTAATAGATAAGGGAGCCCATAATTGAGTTTAAACTTTAGCTTTTGAAAATAATTGGAATAAGGAATAGCTTTTTACTATTATAATTGGATTTAAAATAAAAGAACATATGAATTGTAGTCTAATGAAATATATATTTACTAATAGTAGCAGTGGCTCAAGTTCAAATAACATAGGATACCACTTAAATATTTTTATTTGCCCATATGCAAACTACTACTTGGGGGTTCAATAATTATTTTCCAAATTTTAAAGGTGTCATGCTACCACTTAAATATTTTATTCACCCATACACAAACTACTATCAAGGGTTAAATATCGTTTTCCCAAAGTTTAGAGGTGTCCTGGGATCCGCCACTGAATTGGAAGCCCTCGTAATTTGGAGGCATTGTACTGGAAGGACTCTTGGCAAACCCCTAGGCCCGGCCCTGCTCCATAGGGGTGTTCAAACGGTTTGGTTACCATGGTAACCATTTTAACCAGTAGTATTTGGCTAATTTGGTTTGGTTAATTTCGATAATTGGTTTGGTTTGGTTAAAAAAATTAGCTTGTTTGGTTTAGGTGGTCTGGTTTGGTTTCAGGCACTCCTAACCAATCAAACCAAATTAACCAGTTAAGTAATTTGTCATATATCTAATATATATTATATACACATACTTAATACTTTGCATAACCACTCAAGAGTCAAATGTAAGATAATTGTATTTGTTACATGTATTTACGTTAAGGGTTAACTATAATTATGTGGATTGTTATGTGTTGTTCATTATATAAATTGCAAATTGATGCACTAAATGAAATTTTTTCTCACTTAATGATAATGTGGTGTTATATTGGTTATTTTGGTTAACCAATTAACCAAACCGAATAAACTTTAGTTTGGTTAATTCGGTTGTTGTATTAGTTTGGACGGTTTGGTTATGATATTATATTCCATGGTTAATAGATTTTAGCCTTATTTGGTTTGGTTATTTCCATGGTAACCATTTGAACACCCCTACTGCTCCACACCTAGCATAAATATTACTTTCTTTCTTAAATTCGCTGCAAGGTTGACTGCTTCCCCAACAAAATGAGAGGATTCCTTTTAAATTCAGACCGAGGTCATCCTCCTCATGTGCGTAGCTCACGATTGACTCCTCCATGAAATGCAAAATACAGCAGCAAGAAGCGTTGCTTTTACTCCTAGTCTTGTCGTCTTGTATCCAAGATGAATTCTTCAATAATCAACTCACAATTATTCATGAAGAAAGGAAGGCAAAGGAAGATATGACTATGAGAATCAATAGGAAGAGCACAAGGAGAAGCAAAAGAGGAGAGAGAGGGAAAGATGAATAATTATTCAAAATGGTCATATAGACATTTGTTAAAATGATTTAATAAAATTTATTTTCTTGAAATGGTTGCACCATTATTCCCATTTGGTATCTTCCGTTAAGTTATACACGGATATTGTTAAGTTATACACGGATATTGTGATGGTGCAACTAGAATTCGACTTATATGGTTTAGTTGCAACTGCAATTCAACTTATATGATATAGTTGCAACAAAAACAAGTTCGATGGTTAGTATGCAACATACACTATACTTAAATGGCAACTGATGCATTTGACCCTGCCATCAACTATTCATTAAACTTTAATCAGAGTGAACGGTGTCATGAACTATTCATTCGGCTTTATTCATAATGAATTGTGTCATCAACTGTTCATACAGCTTTAATCATAATGAATTGTGTCATCAGTTGTTCATTCAACTTTGAACATTATTGTAGAAGAAATCATTTTGGGTTTCTATAAATGAACCACCAAATGTGGTCTTGGAACTCATCTACCATTCAACCTTCTTTCCTAAAAAAAAACCTTGAACCTCCATTCTCTTCTCTAGTCACCCAAAACTATTTTAACTTCATGGCCTTGATAGAGAAGCTTATGATATGGAAAGAGAAGCTGATGTGAGGTAAAGAG